ATTATCCTAAGTTGGACCATGGAGAAAAAGGGAGTGGACCTGAGCCACACCGAGGTCAAAGCCGCAAGCGGCATGATTTTCAATGCCCAGAATCTCCGTCGCAATGATATCTACTATGTCGAAGATGGACAATACATCACCCTCGAGGAGGTTTGCCTTAAACCCGAAGAGGAACGGAGGGAGTTGGTTGATCGACTAGATATCTCCAACAAGAAGTTTAAACGGGCGATGCAAGAATGTGGGGGAAATAGGGAGCAAGAAGAGGATAGCGAACCCGAATCACCGGCTCCCACACAAGCAAGGGGAAACCCGGGGGGCCAAAACGAAGAAACCACCAACGAACGCATCCTCGCACAGCTCACCCGACAGAACCAAATCAGGGACGAAGGGTTCTCGATCCTAATCCATGCAACACGCGCCTTAGATCAGAGGGTGGCCGCAATCGAGAGCATCCTGGGCACTCGCGGGGCATCCAGCTCGGGAACAGGAAACCAAGGTACACCCAAACTTTTCAAACACCACTTCACCAGAAATCCAGTCCACCCCAGCAAAGACAACGCGCAGGGCCACACTTCCTGATCGGGAAGCCAAATTACGCGACGTCCGGGGGTGAAGGAATGGATCCACGCACCGGCTTCGGGGACGAAGCCTCTTGTAAGGGGGGGAGAGTGTAACACCCCGTGTTACGACCCCTAAACCCAAATTAATTAATTAATTACCCAGCGCAAAAAGGGACTCAAGACCCACTAATTAGCTAAAAAGAGGTCCACCATGGTCCGTGGGCCTTTATCCCTAAAAGTCAATCCCTCAGTCCTATAAGAAATAGAATTAGTAAACCCATGCCACCTAGACCCTAATAAGGACTCTTAATTATATAAATAGGGGCATAGGAGGCACCTAGGATTCACACCACAAATAATCCCTCACCACACAAGAAAGTTCCAAGAATTCCCCTAGGAGATATCAAGAAAGAGAAATCTTAAAGAAAGACCCTTCATAGCCAAGAAAATTAATTAAGGCTAAAAGGTAACCCATGTCTCAACAAAACCTATTTTCTTCGCTATAATCTCTTTCCTTGGCCTCCCTCTATATTCTTGTGTCTTAATTGAATTATTCTATGATAATTGTGTTATTGATGATTGATAAGATGACTTATATGCTTTCTTGAGGATCTTGATGACCTTGATGTTAAAAAGAAGTTCTTGGTTATGATATGATGATCCTTGACGAATCTGGATATTTTCTTGATGTTAAGAATAAAATATGTCCTTGATGATTTGGGTGGGATTAGAGCCCTAGGATGGATTGGGAATTTGTATTGAAGATGTTCTTGATTTATATTTGGGTGGGAATTTTCATGTTCGGGTGTTGTTCGTATTTAGAAGCCGTAATAGGATGAGTGCTACATGATTCTTGCTTTTGATCCGTTAATTGCTTGTGTGATGTCGTTATTTGCGTTTAAAAGTGTCTAAGCATGGTTTCAGGTTCCACAAAGGATCCCGGGACGAATTTATGATGTATGAGTCAGTGCGGGGTAGGTGGGGGTGGGGGAACCCACCACCTACCCGCTGCCCAAAAGGGCACTGCCCGGCAGCGGGCAGTCGCCCGCCCGCCGGCTACCCGCTGCCCGGAACAGTGCCACCGGCGGGTGACCCCCACCCACCGGCTACCCGCTGGTCCATGCCCCGCTCGCATCCCCAGCTTCCCCGTTTGATGTTCCCCGTTCCCCATGGTGTCCCAACGGACCCCGTTTGTCGTGCCTGAGTCTAGTTTGGAATTTCGGGTACCATTTGTAGGTTAAACGAGTCTTAGGAATTGCATGCTAGTTGTATTGGTAACCCGTGGACCTAGGTGGAAGTTATATGAGCCCTTAGGAATTATTCATAGTATGTGAATGATCACATGTAAGCTTAATTATATGTCTCTCCCCTTCCCTATGTGAATTATGTGTTATTATGTGCTATTGTGTGTAACGTGATGCATGACCCCAACTTGGTTAAGATCAATTGGGCTATACGGGCAGTTGAATGGGCTGAGAACCATCCGAACTGTTAACCAGGCCGGTTAAGATCGGTGAGGGATATTAATATGATATAGGACTGCGGTCCACTATACGGGTAGTCGAATGGGTTGAGAACCATCCCAACTGTTAACCAGGCTGGTAGAGACCGGTCAGGTATATAAAGATTATGTATAGGACTGAAGGTCCACATGGGCCTCGGTGATATGACCCACCGACCTGGATGTGCCAGGCGGTGTGTAGGGCCAACAAGCCGAGGAAGGCTGTAGTCCACCGACCTGAGTAATCAGGCGGTGTGTCGGGCTTGATCCACCAAGTGGCTGCGATCGACCGAGTGGTGGGACATCGGTATGTAGGACCGTAGTCTCCGAGGATCTTTGCCCACCGACTGAGTTTAGCTCAGCGGTGTGTCGGGCTTGATCCGCTACGGCCCACCGATTGTGCGCATCAACGGTGTGTAGGGTCGTAAGTCCCCCCTTGTAAAGGGGATCGCGGTCCACCGACTGGGCGCGTCAGCGGTGTGTCGGATCGTGGTCCGACGTTGAGTTCGTCAGCGGTTCTCAAAGGGTTGGTTGCGATCAACTCCCCTCGTACCGCGGTATTGAGGTAGGGTGCTGCGGGGCCGTGTTAATGCTATAAGCATTAACCCTCATGTTCGGGGCATGCGATTGGTCCCATGGCGCCATCAATGATTATGTGATATGATTGATGATTGGATGATGATGTGGATTGGAATTGAGAAGTGGCTTGAGACCGTAAATGATTATTCCTTATGATGTTATTCCTACTTAACTGCTTATTGTTGTCTGATGTACTTATCCCTATTTGCTGAGTCCATTCCTGGTTTTAAAACTAGTGTCTCTTAAGTATATATCTTCCTGCTTCGAAATGATTTTTGTATATCTATATATATATCTATCTATACTATATTTCAACGCGTTGGAGTGGGTTACCAGCATCTCTCGCTGAACAGATATATTTGGCTTTCAGGCACTGAGGAGTAGGCACCGGAGCGCGCTAGAGATTTGGAGCGTAGAGTAGATAGTTCACCTTTTTGGCCTGTGTGCCATGCTTATGTATTTACATTATTGAGGATATTAGTTTGTTAGCCTGTGCACCTGAGTTCTCTAGCTCAGGTGTGGCATAGCACCCCGTACTCAATTATATTATGTTTTGGGATTTAATGAGAATTTACCTTATTATATATGTCTTAAAAGTTGAAAAAATTTCGGGGTGTTACAGCAACGTTTGTATGCATCACATAGCTCTGCTTCACATATGCAATGGCATTATGAAAATCGCTGCGAACCTGGTATTATGTGTCATCCTTCTGATGGTGAAGCATGGAAGCACTTTGATAGAAGGTTTATTGATTTCGCAGCAGATCCTCGAAATGTGATATTAGGCTTATGTTCTGATGGATTTTCTTCTTTTGGTTTCAATGCAAAGCTGTACTCTTGTTGGCTTATTATGATTGTTCCAAACAACCTCCCACCTTCAATGTGTATGACTACACCATACACATTCTTAACATGTACTATTCTTGGACCGAAGAACCCAAAAGCCAATATTGATGTCTATCTGTAGCCTTTAATTGATGAACTTCAATTGTTATGGGAAACAGGTGTCTTAACTTATGATGCATCACTTAAACAAAATTTTATGATGCGTGTTGCGTTAATGCGGACCATCAATGACTTTCCTTCATACGGTATGTTATTTGGATGGCAGACAGCCGGGAAACTAGCATGTCCTTATTATCTTCATTATTCTAAATCATTTTATTTGAAGAATGGTCATAAAACATGTTGGTTTGATAGTCATCGTCAATTCCTTCCAATGAATCACTCCTGAAGGAAGAATCGAGATACCTTCGTCAAACGACGAGTAGAGAAATCAAGACCTCAACCAATTTAGACAGGGGATGAGTTGTTTAAGAGTTTGGAAAATATCCCAAAGATTATTGATGGTCTAATTGGTCGCATCGAGGGGGTTGGACAATCACACAATTGGAAAAAAAAACATATTTTGGGATTTGCCTTATTGGAAGGATAATTTGCTACGTTATAATCTAGCTTGATGTGATGCATATAGAGAAAAATGTCTTTGATAATATCTTACACACGGTTATGGATGTCAAAGGAACAGCCAAAAGTAAAGGCACGCCTAGTGCACGTCTCGATATGAAGGACATATGTAATAGGCCAGAACTTGAGTTGGTGGAAGAGAATTGACATTATCTTATGCCCAAGGCAAGCTACAGTTTGAATCGTACTAATCAATTAGCTGTCTATGAGTGGTTACAGACTTTGAAGTTACCTGATGGGTTTTCTTCTAATTTGGCTACATGTGTTGATTCCACAGCTTCTAAATTAATAGGGATGAAAAGTCATGATTGTCATATTTTTATGCAGTTTCTTTTGCCTGTAGCTTTCATGCTTTTACCAAGCTGTCACTGGAAGCCTTTAATTGAGTTAAGTGTGTTTTACAGAAATCTTTGCTCTACGCCCCTATGAGTATACAAAATACATGAAATAGAAAACTCGATTGTTTTAACATTGTGTAAGTTAGAACGGTTTTTCCCTCCAGCACTATTTGACTGCATGGAACACTTGCCTATCCATCTTCCATATGAAGCACGTTTAGGGGGCCCAGTACAATATCGTTGGATGCATCCATTTGAACGCTTCCTCAGTCACTTGAAGTCCAAAATGAAAAACAAGAGATATGTTGAAGTTCAATTGTTGATGCATGTATGCTTGAAGAGTCAACACACTTTGCATCATTTTATTTTGACGATTATGTGCAGAGTAGAAGAACAAGGATAGGTCGGAACCTAAATGATGGCGGCATTGATCCTAACTTGCCAGTTACTTTGTCAATATTTAATCGACCATGTCGGTCGATGGGCAGGAGAAAGACAAGATATTTGAGTGTAGAAGATGACAAGAATTATATGTTACATTTATGCAGAAAATGTCTCAACGTAATGCCAGGTAAAAAAATAAAAAGTTGATGTCCCAACCACCAATATCTAATTCTGAACGAAATCAACTACCAAGTCCATCAAATAATGTCCCAAACTCCAGCCCACCATCAAGTACTTTCCCATAGTCCAGCCGAAATAGTGATTCAGAGCATACTATATCAGCATCACGAGATAATGTTCCATCACCTCCAACTTCACCATGCAACAGGCCCACAATACACCCCATTGGGAACAAATCGTAAGTCATACATTGACAATTGAAATGTGTTTACCTTTATCTCTAACATTTATAATTTGTTAAAGGTTTGAGTCATGCAAGGCAAATAGAGAAGTTATGGATTGTGTTACTAAAATATTCCCTGATGCAATAAAGTCATACAGTGATGCTCCTAGACATATGAAGGATGTCTGGTTTAATGAATTTAGAGTAAATTAGTTTATAACTGCTATTAGTAAATTAGTTTATAATTGCTAAAGGAAACTGTTAATATGTATTAACAGAATATATGTCAATCATTATTACATGGACCATGGTCCATACAATTGTGTGGACCATAAATCAAAAGTACATTTTTAATATACTAAGGGTACATTATTATGTACGTAAGGTACATTTTTTTAAAGTACATTTTTAATATACTAAGGGTACATTATTTTATATAATGTACCTTCAGTACAAAAATAATGTACTTTTAATATATTAAAAATGTACATGATATTCATGGTCTACACAATTGTATGGACCATGGTCTACACAATAATTTGCCAATATATGCATGCATGTAATTAATATTCCTTTACTAATTACAATTTGATTATTTAAATTTTATCAAAGAAATCATATAAGTGGAATCCTGAAGATGAGACAACTATTTTGAGCATATTTCACAGAAAGGCTGCCAGGAAACTGTCTAACACATTGTATGAGGTTCGCAGTAAGTTGGCAGATGGTGATCCACAACCACAATGGATGACTGATCCAGTTTTAGCTCAATAACGCAGCATTTGGGATAAAGAGAACTTCAAGAAGACTGCTGAGAAGAATAAAAGAAACAGAAATTCGGACTGTGGGGGATTGGGACCGTCGCTGCACACTGCTGGTTCAATCCCCATGACTGAGCATAGAATAAGATTGGTAAGTCATTAACTACTATTTAAATACAGTTTATAGTTAAACAACAACAACTAAAAAAAAAAAAAAAAAAAAAAAAAGGTAATTTCAACGTAATATACGTACCAACCAACAGTTTATCATTAACACCTTCAACTTTTAGAGCCTCAAATGGTGTGAGACGAAACATCTGACTTAGAAACTCAATTCTTTTGAATTGCTTAGCTATAGTCTGGTAATTGAATTTGATCATGTACTTGTGAGGGGTTGTCCTGTACGTGTAGAAATTGTTGATGACCAAGAAATTCTTAACAGCCCAAACTGAACCTTCCTTAAAATTATTAATGAATTTTGGAACCAATTGTTTTGGGATGTGGGCATGTACCAGTGTTCCCTGCATATATAAATAAATATATAAATATTAAAATTAAACAGTGTTATTAGACCTGGCAATTATGGACATGACCCGTTAACACGACACGAAACCGGACACGAAAATAACGGGTTAGTGTTCAGCCTTAACGTGTCCCGGGTCGTTAACGGGTTGACCCGTTATGTTTCATGTCTTAACGGGTCAACCCGTTAAACCTATTAAGAACTCATTTAACCCATTAATATTATCATGTTAACACGAACCCGTTTACCAAACCTGTTTATAATCCACTAAGAACCATTGTCATGAATGAGATTACAAAAGATATTATGAACATGACTAAGGATGAATTTACTACATTAGGCCAATATCCTACACTATTCAACAATTTAAAATTTGAATTTTTATTGTGTTCAATTTGATTCTAAAAACTAGTATGGACTCCTTTAGTTATGATTTTTGGATGTTATTTTATCATTTTATGAATGTTATGTATTGAATATTTTTTAGTTTGTTTGATGGATTGAACTGTAGGTTTTATTTCTTTTTTTTATAGAACTTAATATTAAATTTTAGTTTTTTTCAAAAAAAAATATATTAATAGAAATAGCGGGTTTATACGAGTTTCGTGTCATATCGTGTCGACACGACTTGAAACCTGTTAACAAAACGTGTCTATCGTGTCAACCCGTTTAACCCATTAACAAATCGTGTTCGTGTTAAAAATTTGAACCTGTTAACCATAACGTGTCGTGTCCGTGTTTAGTCTTATCGTGTTCGTGTCGTTATCGTGTCGACCCGTTAACAGACCCGTATACACGAATTGCCGGGTCTAAGTGTTATATTCAATATGAGATAGATTTTACACTATTATTATTATTATTATTATTATTATTATTATTATTATTATTATTGTTGTTGTTGCTGTTGTTGTTGTTGTTGTTGTATATAAAATATCACCTCAGAATCATGAAATATAATTTCGTTGCATCTGATTCCATTGCTTCCTGTCCTTTCCGATACATTGTATGCATGAATAACGCGAACCTTCATTGCACTAGTAACATTGAAGGGTGAGATATCACTTCCAAGAATATACATTGGATATATACTGTATGAGAGATGAGAGATAGGCTTGGAAGGGACTTGTTGTTCAGCAACGTGTGGTTGAATGCATAGGCCTGTAATTCATTATTTATAGAATTGTTGAGGAATCAAATCATTCCATATTTACGTTAGTAATCCCAAAAGTTGCATCCTTATTTGTTGTTTTAAATTTAAATATATCCTCTAATATTTTTATGTATTTGATTTGATTTGATTTAATGAATTCTGAACAGACGTGGATTCTGAACAGACACAGGCATTGAAGAATTTAATTTTGTATCAACAATGTATTTAATTCTTTATTGATTTGTATTTGTCTAATCCGAAAATTTTCATCCTTATTTGTTCTTTTAAATATATCCTCTAATTTTTATGTATTTGATTTGAATTCTGAACAGACACGGCAATGAATTTGTTAATTCAATATATATATATATATATATATATATATATATATATATATATATATATATATATATATATATATACTATCTACTATACTAATAAGAGCCCAAGAGAGTTAGGCCTATAATGGGTAGAAAAAATGGCGGTCACAGATTTTAATCAAATGAATGGCTCAGATTGATTAAAAGATTGATAAGATTTAAATTTTACACTAAAATTTCCTAAAATACCTACACACCGTTACTAATTCCGTTAAAATTTTAAGAATTGCCGTTAGTTCACCGTTAACTTACTCATTGATTTCAATAAAAAAATAAAATAAATAAAAAATAAAAAAAAAAAAGTCTTAGGTTCGAACCTCATCCCAATCAAAGTTGGCATAATTAGTACTTTATTTTACTCTTATTAAATTATATAAATAATAATTTAGTAGCTACAACAAAAAATTATAGATATGCATTTCTTTAATTTAGAATTATGTGTCCACAATGCCTTTATTCAAAAAAAAAAAATTATTCATTATCAATAAATTAAATAAGAGAAATAATTGTATTAGTTATATTGTCTTTATTTTTCTACAATATAAAAATTCTTTATATTCAAATTTATTAATTGATTATATTCGCTACATTGTCCTTACAATGTCTTAATTCAGTGAAAAAAAATTATTCATTATCAATAAATTAATTAAGAGAAATATTTTCATTAGTTATATTGTCTTTATTTTTCTCAAATGTAAAAATTTTTACATTCAAATTCATCAATTGATTATATTCACTACATTGTCTATTATCTTTTTTGTGCACTATTTTTCTAATTAAATATCAAAATTATAATACAAAATAATGCTATATATTTATTTACCAAGTATTTTATTAATATCATGAAAAAAATAAAAAAATATATATATAATTAATAAAGCCAACCATATTAACTACTTGAGAGATTTTGTGACAAAGAGAGTATTCAAATCACACAACAAATTGAAGTGAGAACTACCTTGCAATGTCCTTGTTTGACAATCAGCAGTTAGCGCGCGGATTATATTAGCGGATTTGACCAACGAATTTATTTAATTATTAACATTGGGTAGAAAAAATGACCGCCAAATTATTAAATCAACTGAATGGTTCAAATTGTTCAGGTTTTAATTTTTTTACAAATTTTTCTAATTTATCCTTAATTATATGATTATCCATTTAACTTTTCCGTTAAATACCGTTAACTCACCGTTAGTCTAATTATAATATTAACGTCTAATATAGAATTATAATTACACCATTAATCTAATTCTAATATTAAAGTCTTAATAGAACTTAACCACAAATCCTAATGTCGGAATCTCCTCAAACAATATTAGTATATATTTAATATTTTATGCCCTAATTTTTATTTGTTCTCCCTTATGTCCCGTATTTGGTTTCAACCATACCTATACAATTATTTTATTGACAATTATAATCAATCTTGACTATATTATCTTGCATTTGTAAATTTAGAATTACCTATTTAACCCGCATGAGCTTAGCTCAATGGTTTAGTGGGCAGTATTTGGGAGAAGAGACCAAGGTTTGAACCTCGGCGGCGGCAGTGCGGGAATTATGTCCAAAGTGGGCAGATTCCTTGTTCGCACCGGCATTTGGTCCTGTCTGCTGAACCATTGAGTCACCGTGATTTACAACTTCCTACAATGCTCTGTCGGGTCAGAGTGTGGGGGGCCCTTGGGGTAGGGGACTCAACCTTTGGGAGAAGAATTACCTATTTAAATACGTAAATTCAACCTTCAATTATCTATGCATGAACAATTTCAATATAATATTGCCTTAATAGACTTTAAAGTACTTATTTAAAAAAAACATTGGGCATTATCCCAATCGCGCAATGCGCGTAAAAAACTAGTATATAAAATAAAGTTCAAATGCGGCGGGGTCTTCCCGTGCGACGGTGCGGCGAAATTCCAGAATACACCAACAGTTTTAACAATATGAACCAACAGTGTATGGAAAACACACAATGAAATGCAATAAAACATCACAACATACCTAAAAAAAAATACACCATATAACTCACCACCCCCAATGGTGTATTTCTGAACACTATATGGTGTTTTTACTCACACCTAATGGTGTGTGTTTGGTGATGCGTACCTAATTTGTCTCTGTTTTTTGTGGTGCATTTTCCTACGTTGATGGTGTATATTTGTTGAACTATTGGTGATGCCGCACCGCCGCACCATAAGACATCGCCGCACCTGAACTCGCCTCTCTCTCTCTCTCTCTCTCTCTCTCTCTCTCTCTATATATATATATATATATATATATATATTATTTTGTTATATAATATTGTCTCGTGCGATGTGTTCTAGTTATGGCCCCCCAAAGTGTGAATGCATTTTAATAGAAACAAGATTAGGAAGTATGAATGCATTAATTGTGTGGGTAGATGTATTTATACATATTTTATTATTATAGCTCTATATGATCTTTATCTCTATCTCTATATCTATATATATTAAAGCATAATGAAGTATGGAAAAAAGTTTATTGTGTTCAAATTTAATGGTAAAGTTTTATATTTAATATAATTTGTGTATATATTTATTTAAATCTCAATTATAATTAATTTGACTCCACATATATAAAGATGAGAAATTAGATATAAAATAAATATAGTTCTTACATAAATAATCTTTTTCAAATGAATACGTTTTTTTGTGGAGATTTTCGACAAATATCGCTTGTTATTTTATTTACAAGTTTTATTTAAATATGTTAGTTAGTTATATAATTAAAGTAGTTATTTCAAATTCAAATAATAATACAAGTAACAATAAACTTTAAAATCAACATAATAATAGCATAATTAAACTTTTAAAAATATTAAATATTACATTGTATAGTTATAC